TAAAACAATGAAATATTGAAAGAAAAAAAAAGTAAAAAAAAAACACAAAAAAAGCCAAAATCCTCCTACCCGAAGCACTATTTCCTATTACTATTCATCGACAATCTTCGAAGTCGTCGTCGTCGAACTGTCGAAATGTATGGAAACAAGCATGACAAAGAATAAGCCTACAATGAGAATGTATTCATAAATGTGAAATGATAGTTAGAATGTATGTATAGAAAGTAGCGTCATGAATTTCCGGAAACCAAAAGACCTTCAAGAATTGAATAGGGGGTGCTTAAAAATCCACATTTTTTGGCCGTTTGGCCTACAATTTTGGGCACTTTGGGAGGGCTTTTGGACAAGTAAACAAGGGTTGTTTTGAGAGATTTGTTCACGGATAGCATGGGGAAGGGACGGGGAAGGGTTCAAAATAGGAAAAACCCTAAAAATGGAAAATCAGAAAAATTCGGGAAACTTTCAAATGAGTTTTTGACGGCCTAAACGAGCTCAAACGAACAAAATCCATGTTGCATCCCACGATTTAGGATTTAGGCCCAATCCCTACATGGAAAGGTAAAGTGCGTCTTCATCAGACTCCATCGAAGTTTCCAAAAGTTGCATTTTAGTCCTTTTTCAAGGCATTTTCCCTTTTTTCCCCCTTCCCGCCTTTTTTCCACTTGTTATAGTACAGAATATTATTCCTTACATCCTCATCTTTCCAACAAGGTAAGGCTCGCCTCCATCGGACTCCGTCCATCTTTTGCTCAAATTCGGTTTTTCCCCCTTATCTCTGCCTTCCCTTTGTTTTTCAAACTTTTTCCTTCTTCCTCCTCCTCTTTCCACAAAGGTATGCCTCACCGCGATCGGCCTCCATCAAAATTTTCCAAAATTACACTTTGGTCCTCTGTCGTCGCTTTTCTGAATAGTGACTCCTCCTCCGTCTTCATCTGTCCCAAAGCAGTCCTTCCCTATCTTGTGGGTCAACAGTGACTTCTTCTCCGTATTCATTGTTCCACAGTGCCTCTTTCTCCCCCTCCTCCGTTAACAGTTGCTTGCTTCTTTCCTACCTTTCGTCAACAGTGCTCCGTAGTGAACTTAAGAAAGGGTCGAGGAATTGGTCAATAGTCCTCCTTTGTGAACACTGGTCATTTGTCACAAAAACTGTGAGTCTTGCTCCTTGGGAAAATCCCTATCTGGAAAGGTAAGATGCGTCTCAATCGGAGTCTATCAATCTTTTACCGATATTCCCATTACGTCCTTTTGGTACATATTTTCTATGTTTTGAGGTCGAAAACTTCTCGACACTAGATTTGAAACAAAAGTTGAACATATGGAATGTACCGATGAAGTTGATTTTAATTTTGTATGTGATGAAGATTTAGAAGTCTATGAGAAGTTTGTTGATGTAACGACCCGAAATTTCTAATTCGGAAGCTAATTACTAAGATAGGCCCCAAATTCAATTTCTTAGCAAAGTTCACTAAAAGATTAATCTCAAGTATTTTACTATGGATGTATCTAACCTTCTTGTTAGACTACCTACGTACCCTACTAAGGGATCAAGCCATTTGTAGTTCACATTACGCTTCTAGAACAACATACTAAAATTTCATTTCGATCCAACGGTCAGATCTCCGCCAATCACGACATTCGAGTGGCGGTCGACGTTTTAATTTACTAACTTGCAAATCCAATTCGGGAAGATCCGTACGTCAAATTCCTGATCCGTAAGTTCCTAAGGTCCTCAAATATTTCGAATAAGAACCTATTAAAGTTTGATGACGATCCAACTGTCGGATCATTGATTCACATAATGACCTAGTAACGTATCGTAGAGAATTTAGGTTCAAACAATCAACCTACGTCATACGAATATCAAAACTGAAATCAAGGCATCTAATTTAGCCTAAAAATAGCATCGACAACCCTCTGGCCACGCGTCGCCGCGTGTGGTGGTTTCCGGCAACCGGAAACCCACTTTTTTGTCTAACTCCAAATTCTACCAAATTTTACAAAAAGATAGAGCTCAACAAGAGACACGAGTTTTATACCTGCCACGAAGTCCAAAAGTGCGGAAGATGGTCAATTCAGCTGATAAAGCCGGTGAATGCCTAAAGCTTCCCAGTGTCGATTCGTCGCCCACGATGGTCCAACGGAATCAAAGCTGGTCGGAATTTACTCCTGGGATGATGAGCTACAAAACCCAAGTGGTGGCATCGACCATCGCTTTGCCGATTCACAAGAAAAATGAAAATGGTGGCTGAAGCACCATTGGCTTTCATCGGTTTTTATTAGGGGTGGGCACTTAGAATCGAAAACCGAAACCGAAATACGAACCAAATCGAACCACACCGAACGGTTTGGTTTTGTGGTTTTGGAACAGTTTAGGTTTTGAAACCGAACCGCAACATAGAAAACGGTTTGGTTTCGGTTTTGGCTTTTGAAAACCGCACCGAAACCAAACCGAACCGCACCGCAAATATTAATAAACATTTAATTAAATGTCCATATTAAATTTCATGTTTTCATTGGTTGTTTGCTATAATTCATGCACTTAGTATGGACACAACCACACTAGAATATCATCATTCATCACTTTCTTTCGTTCGTTAACTTGAAGGACCTTTGTTATTTTATACCATCACACACACACATATATGTACAAGGGTGGACTAATCTTGTTATCAAGAGTCGAACAATGATCTAATGAAGTCCACTCATTTGAAGCATGATATCACATATTCTAGTATGAAAGTTTCGCTCATGTTTAATGAATTCAAAGTTATTCAACTTGTTTTATGTTATACCTTGTATAGGACACCCTTTTGTTGCACAAACATATTTTAACATCACAACTGCATGCAACATGCTAATTGTTTATATAAAAATGTCTTTTTCCTATTGCTAATGGGAAATGCTTATTAATATGTTAAATTGCAAATTGTACATTTTTTCTTAAAAACCAAACCGAAACTGTTTGAAACCTAACCGAACCGAACCAAACAGTTTGGTTTCATTTCGATTTTGGCTTCAAAACCACACCGAACCAAACCGCAAAAAATTTTGATTTCGATTTTGGTTTCACTCAAAACCGTACCGAACCAAACCGTGCCCACCCGTAGTTTTTATGGCCTCACACCGCCACATACGGTGGTTAATCAAGGTGGTTCTTGGTTGGATTTTGTAGAGGGGAGTGAGAGCTTCAAGATGGTGGTGGTGGTGTTGAAAAAATTCCACCGGAGTTGGCCGGAATCGACCTCGGAAAAATGGGAGGTCGCAGAGGTCAAAATGGGGGTTTTTCTGGGCTCCTTGAGCCTCTAAACCCAGTTTCTATATATGGAAACCTGCTAATTTTTTGGCAGATAGACTTTGGAAACTTACTACTAATAGTAAGTCCACATGTCTAAAAGGTCTCACTACTTCCGAGGCTCGTAACTTCTCTGTTCTAACTCGGAATTAAGAACAGTTTTCGCCTACACATTCATAGAATCGTCCTCTATCCAAATTTTCCAAGAAACGGGATAAAATATATTGAGGATAAAATATGTCCTCATAAAATTACGTTTAGTCAACGAGAGACATTTTCGTCTTTTCACTTCTCGATAAAAAAAATGCATATATTTTTAAAATTTTCAGGGTATTACAGTTGATTGGTACTCTCCACCAATTTATGATGAGTACCATAGTAACATTTTGACTACAATGGATGAAGACTTCCATGTCCAGTTTCATCAAGAGGTAAAAGTTTCGCAATTGTATCAGAATTATGTTTGGGAAGATTTTGTTGCTCGTGACATCATGAGAAAACCTTGGAAAATAATAGTTGCTGAGTTTGATTCTGAGCTTGGATTACTCTTCCAAGCCTATTCATCACTAGAAACTATTTGGAAAACTTACTTGCATGCTTTGAAGTCAAGTTACATTATGAATAGATTAAACAACACATGGTTTGGAAGGCTGCAATGGAACTTGCATCAACTTGTGGGCAAGAACACTTGGAAAATTCTGAAGTTTCTTTTGCTAATATGGATGAAGTGGAAAATATTGATTGGTCATCCTAAAGATCTAGGAAGACTAAACAAAACTCGAGGACAAGTTTTCTTCGAGAAGGGGAAAATGATGCAGGACAAGAAAAGAGCAGATGCATTTGGAATGGAGCACATAAATTTTCAAAAGATGAATTCATGTGCTGAAATAAAGAGGGTTTTAATACAAATGGCTGATCAGGTTAATTACAAGGCCTTTTTTTTTTGGGTTGTGATTTTCACACACCCTTAACTACTTTTCCCACACCCTCCCTATTTTTTAGTACTTAATTGGTATCCTACTATTTAATCTTCCATATATACCCCTCCATATTTAATCTTTCATTAATTACCATCAAAAAGTAGGAAGGGTATATATGGAAGATTAAATAGTAGGATACCAATTAACTATTAAAAAATAGGGAGGGGTGTGGGAAAAGTAGTTAAGGGTGTGTGAAAATCACAACCCTTTTTTTTTGGCTAATCATAACAGCTAGAGCATTTTTATGGCTGATAATAGCCTTTGTTTATGAAATTTTCAGTTTTAAGTGTTTTATGTTTATTGCATTTTCAATTTCTGAATGTAAGTTACAAAATGGTTATAAAAACCATTTCTTTGTGTAAGATGGAGGGGTTGGATGTTTTTTATTAATGAAATTTCTCAAAGTGTTTCTTTGTTTTAGTTTTGTGTCTTTCTCTTTGTGAGATTGTTCTGCTTTGTTCTTCTAGTTGTCTACGTTGTAGGCTCGTACTAGGAGACGGGGTTTTAGGCAACCCTAAGGGAAGGTACCCCTGTGGCAAGGCAACCTTAGGAAAGGTAACCCGAACCAAGGCACCCTGAGGCAATGCACCCGAAGGCAAGGTACCTTTAGGGAAGGCAACCCGAGGCAAGACAACTTATGTCAAGGCACCCTTAGGCAAGGCACCTTGAAGCAAGGCAACCCAATGGCTGATCGTTACAAAACAAATATCACGAACATGGTCACAGAATAACGAGTACCACACAAGCAGATTGCGCCAAATAAAAAACAAGGACAATGTTACATGATCTCAAATTGAATACAAAAAAATGAATGAAAATAAACACCGATAAACAACATACACTTGGGCAAACAAAACATTTATAGGCGCCTCAACTATTATAAGGTGTAACGGCCAAGTGTCAAACATATAATCTTGTATATTCGATAAGTGAATAGGAAAGATGCCCTTGACTCCGTTATACAAGTCCAAGAGAAGATACACGGTATTCAGACGTGAGGGTTAGCGGGAAGGGAGCGACCAATAAGTCTGCACTGTTCTGGAAGCAAAGAAGAAATGACTTGCCCGTTGAGTGGAAAAAGCTCTCCATCAATACCACAACCATTTTGGGTGTGCTTTCCTGATACCTTAATCTTCACTGACTTTGCCTGCAATGAAAGATAAAATGAGAATCCCCCTATACAACTTACTGTAAATTATTATTTATCAAGAACCTGCCCAAGAAACAGGAATTAAAAATCCCAATCCGTCCCAACCCCTAAACTCCAACACAAGGGAAAAGTTGCAATACAAAATCCAACCAACGATGAAGCCACTTACTGTTTGCTTGAACTAGAAATGCACCAAAAATTGTGAAGTTTTGTGGTTCAATAAATGCAGTTTGTCAAACAAAGTGCAAAGACATTACTAAAGTACCTTGACATTTTCCACGTATGGCAGTGAAAGGTGTTTACCCATCTGCAGTAGCATGAAAAATCTCAAAAGCCTTAACCGCCCACTTCCATGAACTAGGAGCAAATCCAAGGTGTTGTCATCATGCTCAGCTTTTGGCGCCACCACTTGAGAACTCTGAACAGTTCTGCAAGCATGATTGCAAACCAGAATACCGAGGAATTGACCCTTCGTAACAACCCATTTATCTTCATACCTAGGAACAACTTCCTTTTTTCCTGCTTCCACATCATCTGATGGCCCTGGTAATTCAATAGGATTTTCCACATCCCAATTAGGTTCACTGTCCCACTTGGGTTCCGCATCCCAAATTGGACCTGGATCAGACAGCGTTGATGATATATCCTCTTTATCATTTGTTCCAGCATTGCACCAAGAAGATCTGGAGGCATCATGTGTGGCTGTCAATCCAGACCATCCTTTATCTGCTCTCGACTTAGAGCGGGTCCTTGGCCAATTTGGAGTTGTTGACAGAGGAAGCTGAGGATGAATAACTTCTGGCTCTGCAGTTACATTGCTCCTTCCCGTTGAAAGTCGTTTTGATTTCGGATCTAGGCCACGTACGTACTCAGATGGTTCAATGCTAGCATGACTGCTACTGCAGTTTGTATCCAAGTCTCCACCAGACATTCGAGTAGGAGTCATGATGGAGTCGATACTTGACAAACTAGAGGCTCTTGGAATCCCATCCGTGTTTGATCTCCTCATGATGTCTCTGTATAGTTCTGACATGTCAACTACTTCCCTTTCTGAGAGTTTTCCTTCTACGTCCTCTTTTAAAGCTGGAAGATACTCAACTTCATAGCTGTACTTTGGTAGGCACAAGAATTTGAGAAATCCAGCAACAAAATAACGAAGAGGACCAAAGCGCTTTTGGTATTTCTCAGAGAGCTCCAATACTGCAACCAGTCCAAGAAGAATTAACATTCTAACAAATATAATTTCCCCATACAGACTTATTTTGATTACTACAAGTAGACCAAATTAAGAAATGTTGTTCTCAGAGATCCAACTCATCTATCAATCACCAATTGATCAAAATGCTAGGAAATAATCTAAACAACATTATTGAACAACCAGGCTGTGGGAAAACTGAAAATTTTTACAAATACACAACAGAAGGAGACAGCTCGACAATTTTTATATCAGATGGATCTAAAGTGACCATCGACACACAAGACAAACAATAAATACTTACAAAAACCAAAAACATTCAATCCAATTAAAGTAGTTTTGCTAAATCCCAACAGCGACTAATCATGAGAATCAGAATCAGACAAAGTATCACATTAACAGACCTTAGCCACCAAGTTTGCTAATAAATATGCATTACAAAATACCATCACTCAATATCTAGATGGAACTTAATCATATGCATTAGGAATTACCATCACTCACAAAACCATAATATGAGACTGTCATCCCAAAGTGAATAACGCCAGTCTGAATCCACTCAACAGCAAAAACATCTGTAGCTGTAAGACCCCCCTGAAACCAAGAAAACAGCACATAATTTCTACTTCAATGAATACTTTTTAGTTTTCAAATGTGTCAACAACCTTACAGATAAATGTAGCTGATAGGTAATTTCATAACTCAAAAAATGGAGATAATAAATAATGGGATCTTAAATGTTTATGCAATGCAGCTGATAAAAAGTTAGCTGGAATATTGTTGGGTATTCACAAGTGTTGAATTTGATTGTCTTCCCTTTGGTGTATTTGGGGTGTTGAATAACCATCCCTTATCCATTTCATGCTATTGGCAAAGGCATAGAAGGGTGAAGAGTCTATTTAATTAGTGTTTTACAATATTTTAAACTGTTACAAAGTAAGTTGCATTGGTCACACACTCACCTAGTTGATAGGAAACTGACTGCAGCGAATTTAGAGAGCTTCCCATGCACACATAAGAAATTGAGGTTAAGACCTAATTGGTAAGAGGTTGATTACCAAATAACTACAGAAAAATTGGATAAGGTACCAAAAGAGACTTTGTTTTTCATTGTAGAAGTATTAATTTTCTATTAATACGTTTTTACAACCATAGTATATTGTCAAGTTTAGTCTATTTGGGTTTTAAGCCTTCAACTCTTAAGCCTAGATACTAAACTCTCAACAGAATTCAATACATACATTAGAATAACAACAAAGTACACCATGACTCAATCACAACTCTGTGATTGCCAATCAGTCACAATTGTGTGCTTGCCAAGTAAATTGTGCCTCGATCACAATTGTGTTTGTTAAAAAAATTGTTGTGGGTCCATCTGAATGGTTGGCAGTTCGAACTCTGGATATGTTATAGCTCAAACTGATTCCTTCTCTCCACATCCTCCACACTACTATTTAGAAGGAAATAGCCTTTTAACTCTTTTCGCCGATTTTATGACTTTGGTGATGTTAGGCTGATATTTCAGAGTAAGATTCGAGTCATGGCAACACAAAAAAGAAAAGTGAGACACACGGATCTATGACTTACGATGTGGTTGTAATTTTGCCTTGCATGTAGGGTAGTTTTTCAGTTCATGCGAGCATCTATTTGGTGTTGGTCTAAAATGGGAAGTCAGCCTAATTGATGGAAAATGTTACTTTGTAGTATATACACTACAACTGAATGTAATCTAATTTCTTTTATTAACATGATGAACCCTAAATACATTACCTTGACAATGGCCATTGCAGCAGAAACTGGATCTCTAACTCCAAGGACTGTCCAAACTAATGAATTATCAGAACCAGCAGGTATAATCCCAATTGGTATAGAAATTCCTTCTTGTTGGTTGTCTCTACTTAGTAAACCATTTAGAACCTGTACAGAAATAAAGTTAATGAAAATGTATAAATAAAGAAAAAGCCAAAGTTTAATCCATTGAATTCAACCAAGCCAAAATAGAAGAAGAAAATAGAATATGGGAATTTTTTTATTTTTCAAATTTCTTAGCCGTCAAACTCCAAAAAATATAAATGCGAGGTTGTTTTTTCATTTTTGTTATTAAAAGATACAAGATATTCATTAAAAAGAAAAAATAAACTGCAGCACAGGGAACAAGATGTTCCCTAAAACTACACCTGAATAGAGAACAACAAAACAGAAAATCAATGAAAACAGAACAAAAGAACTCATACACAACAGTGCTCCAATAGCACGAAAGAACCAAACCTCAAATTCTGAGAAAACTGAAGCCAATAAGGACGTTAACAAACAAAATGTGTTCCACAAATGATTCACAATCCTTTCCCTAGCACCACTAAAAATACTCCTATTTCTCTACATCCAAGCAACCCGAAAGTATTGCCTGCACAGCACCAAGCCCATTTTCCTATCTCCCAAAAACTCCGGCTTCTCACCTAGAATTTTGCCCAACTCAATTGGGTTTCCCAAAACAGCCTTATCCACAGAAAACAGACCGTTAAATGATTCAAGACAAAAAACAACTCAGTCACTCTCCTAACTCCAAGTCATTCAAGATTTTTTCAAAACCCAACAATCCCAAGACAAAGGAAAAGACAGACGGCTCAAACACAAACTGCAAATATAAGCATTTAAAGATCTTGATAATCTATATGAAGGAGAAAAAAGAGAAGAGAAATATTTTCCCCCTTCCATCCCAACACCTCACCCTTTCGCCATTCCCCTAATCCAAATATTCAGAATTTAAAAAAAAGACTTCAATCTCCAATTTTTTTTTTCTGGTCAAATTGAACCTCTATAAATGACGTTAGAATCCAAGCCATCCTCATGTGGCCCCTATTTACTCTTAATGACATCGTACCAAAAAATCATCCTCCACTGGAAATCGCCATAACTATTTCCCGAGTAAAGCCTTATTTCTCTTCAGTAAGTTCTCTCCATCGCACCTAGACTCTTCCCTTTTCTTTCACTTTCGTCACCACATACCATTTAGCCATCTTAAACCCTTAAATCCTCATTAATGATGTTACCATACCCCTTCTTCCTATTTCCTTTTTGCACAACTCAATTTGCTCAACTCCAACTTTAAACTTTTAGCTCGGTTCCCTTTTTAATAACCTCCCAGCTTCAACTCAATTCTCTGAATGCTTCTTTTTCCCCAAGTGGAAACGACAAAATGTCCAACTTGCCCATCAAATCTCCCAACTTCTCCAAAACATTATGATCTTTTGCAATTATATTCACCGTCCAGCTTGATCCACTCCAGATCCTACCACAGCTTCTCTTCTTTTATACAAACTAGCTCCCCACCACACTCCAATTGCCCAACATCTCTTCATGCTTCTAAATATCTGATTTCCCTGCATTTTGTGTGTCCCCTACAATTTGTTGCTGTCCACAGTCCCAACCACACTGACTTTCACCTAAGATCTCTGTCAAATCATCCTCTCCCACGTCTGGTATTTCAGCTTCATCCAAAGAGCCATCTTCCTCTGTCAATGCACCACACTGGGAAGGATTCTTTCATCATCCTTGGTTTCAGTTACAAAATCTATAGCCCCCCATGATAGAAAATGACAGTTTATGGAAAATATTTTCACATATATGGCGGTCCTATAATCAATGCATGCTTTCATTTTTTTTGGCGCTAAATCATTTTAATGGTCAAAATATGTGTTGTAGACAGTTAAAGTATCTGTTGTGGGGTGGGGGGGGGGTGTTCGTCGTGGAGTGAAGGAGAGAGAAAATAATAAGAATCATGGATAGGTACCGGGAACATCGAAGTAGCAAAGGATTTACCTCATTAATAATTCCATCACCCCCAACACAAATGATTCCTGAAAATAAAAAATTATAAATGCACAAAAGCTATAAAGATGACAAAGAAAATCAGAAAGCATAAGGAAAACCAAAAATAAGCAATGTGATTAGATATTGGATTATGTAGTAGTACCATCAGGACAAGTGCTAATGTCAACAGTAGAGGCAAGTTTCCTAGCATGACCTGCAGACGTTGTTTTAACTACCTCCACTTTGAAACCTGCAAGCTGTCACAGTTCACAGCTCCAATATGAATATAAATATGACCACAAGCTCTGGAAGAGTGCATTAACACTATCACGATTAGAGATGCAGTCCAACTCTACCATTGAGTTCAAATATACAAAGAGGAATTATAAATACTTATTTCCTATTAGATAGCTACATCAATGGGTGACATACAACAGCTCAGTTTAAGAGTCGTATCCATCAAATAAAAATAATACTTCTCCTGAATACCAAAAGGCACTATAATCAATATATAGGGAAAGGTAACAGAATATACATCATACCTTAAATATAGGTTCAACGACGTTGTGAAAAACCTTACTTGAACGGCCACGTCCGGATCGTGGATTTAATATAACAAGCATTTTTGGCGGACTCTTACATTTGAAAATTAATTCAGGAGGAGTATCAATTGGGATTAATTCTGAAGAAGCCTGCTTTTTAGAAGATAGCAATGGATGAGGCAAGCAATTCACATAACACTGCTGATCAGCAAACCCCCCAACCCACTGAACTGCCTCTTCTATGCTAGAAGCCGAGAATCGAAAGTCCTTACGTCTTCTGCGAGGCTTTATAAAACATGGAAGGCCACAAGAACCCTTTTTCAAGGGATAAGAATGCACGGTGAAATGTCTGAGACCAACATGGTACGAAACCTGTGCAAGAAAATAAAAACATTACTGTTTCCTACTTCATTCCAAAGAGGGAAAGGCAGCCTTGTGATTTGTAGCTGTTGTAACATTCAGCTATAGGAGGAGGAAGTTCTTACTGAGATGACATCATCAAGATGCAGCATGTGAGAACCCCAAATTAAAGCCTTACTGGTAAGCTTGCCAGCAACAGCTTCCTGGTTGGGAATATCAGCAGAGGAGGAGGTGGTTTGTTGTGCATCAGTAGAAGAAGAAGTGTTTATACTGCTGGTTTTTCTTTTGTCCAACACTAATTTTCCGGTGAAGACGACATAACCCAACAGATCAGACTTTTCATCTCCAGCAGCAGAAGCCGGAATGTCAATCCTGTGCTCGAAGGTCTTTAGTGTGTTGGGATCCTCAGTGGAGGCAGGGGTTGGAGTCTTGGAAGCCTTGATCTTCTGTCGCTTCTGTTTCTCAGGGAAGACAATTGGGGAGGAGTGTTGGCCCCCAGTTGCAGTAGCTATCTGGGAGCACAATCCCAGTCGCCTGAGAGACTGCTGGGGCGTCGTTACTCTCAAACTGTTCTTGGAAACACTCCCACTCTTCTGCATATTATTTATATCTTTCTTTTCTTCTTACTTTTCCTTGTAAAACCAGAATTATTATTCTGCTTATGAATTGCAAAAGGGGAGATCGAGAAAACAGACGAAAGATGTGTTGTTAGTAGGGATAGATGAGCGGCAGCAGCTGGAGAGGAGGTTTCAATCCCAATTCTAATAGTGAAACGTTGATTACGCAGTAACTGCGGCATAAAAATGACTAGATCAACCACCCTGCATATTTATTGTTTCGAATTAGAGGTTAATTCTTCATCAAAAATGGATTCATTGAGCACAAATCGCCATTTCTACAACTGGGACCGGAATCCTCAACAAGTCGAAAAATAATTACAATCCTATTACAATTACAATTACACTTACAATTACAACAATATAAGATATAAAAAATAATCGAGACTCAATCCGCTGGAATTGAGGCAAAGGAAGAAGGGGGCGACTTACGAGCTGAGCTGAGCTGAGCTGAGCCGCAGGTCCGTCTTGTTGCTCAGCCGAGGTGGAGATGGCGATCCTTCGGAATACAAAGTCGCACACTCAATCAGACCTGAAAGGGAAATTCAGCCCGCTTTCCTCTTCTTCAGTCGGTCCGCGTCGGGGTCGGCCCTCAATTATCAGTTTTTCCTCTCTTTTTCTATTCACCGGGTAAAGGACAGGAACTGAAACGGAGCTAGCTCCCCTATTATCTTAGGGAGTCGTTCTATTTGGACCAGTTGGTCGTGCAAGTTTTTCTATTTTGTACTTTTTCTTTTGATATTAATAATTATTATTTTTAACGGCACATTTTTTATCATAAATAATTTTGAAATTGGTCTAATTCATCCTTTGATCATTTAACTGAAAAATCGATCAAAATCATTTTTAGATTTAACTACCGTATATCAATGTAGTCTCTCATCAAATTCATTAAATTTTCTAGAAGAATGCTGGCCTACCATACAAGAACCACACATAACTAATAATTTTGTGTCACATAGAGAGTATAAAAAACACTCTTGAAAATTAAAAAAAAACTAGAAACCAAATAAGAAATTAACAACCTTCCCTCCAAATACTAGTTTTCTCCTTTACATTTAGCATGCAATGACTGGTTGGGTGATGTGACAGCCCGTCCCTAATTTTAAGAATTTTTAAAGTTTTCATAAAGGATTTTACAAAAATGCCCTTTGAAGGTACGTGCATTATTCGAGGTTAATCACCATGTCGTGCCATCTAAGATTTGTTTTCTTGATATATCCCCGTAGTACTCGTCGTTACGGACGCGTGGGCGCAGACGGTTCGTGATTTGGAGTTATATCGAGGAAGTTATTAAAGTTTGAAGTTGGGATTTTAAGGAATTATAATTTTAGTAAAATATAGAAATTCTTTTATGAAAATGGACGGCCCAGATTTAATGATGAATGAAATGGATGGTTGGGATGAGAGAAAGTTTTGTGTGTGTGTATGCGTGAGAAGAAAACAGAAAAGAAGAGGGATTGAGCAAAGCTGCCCAATCGGAGAAGAAGGAGGAGAGACCGAATGGGGAGAAGAGAGAGGGAGAAGCTGACCAACTAGAGGAAGGAAAGGAGGAAAGGAGAGAGGGCGAGAAGCGGAGGAGAGAAGGAAGAAATGGGTTTTCCCCAACCCGTATATACCCGCGCGACCCGCGACTTCCAATCGGCGGGTTTTCGCCATTTTCGTCCAATTTTCCGACGAATTGAATCAGGGTACCACTCCTAATCATCATCTAGGCCTTCCCTCTTCACGTTTCACCCCAAGAATCATTGAATTTCGTTGTGATTTCGCGAAGAACACCCCTACGGGTGCCGCGACCCTTTTGTTTAAATTCTCCAAATTTTGAAATGTTTTTCTTTCAATTACTAACACACCATTAGCATTCCCTTAGGACCTAAAACAAAGCCCAAGAGGTAATTGAGGCGTTGGAACAAGTTTGAAGGTCGAATTGGAAACACCCAATTCTAGGGTTCTTCACGGTTTTTGGTGAAATTGAAGCACTTCCAGGCCAAATTGGCCTTGGCCTCAGGTATGAAAGTTGTTCTACTCATTGAGATCTTCAAATCTGCAAATTTTAGTAATTTTTGGAAATAGTTGAATTTTCCGGCGAGCCGGGGCGGCCAACCGCCACCCGCGGCGGCCCGCGCGGCGGTGCGTGGCCAATGGCCCGCCAATGTCATTATTAGCTTGTGATTAAGGTTCTAGGTTCTGTTTTGATAATTGATGGACGTAAATTGAATAATTGAACCTAAGTTGGTTACGATTCGTGGTTAGGTAAAAATGTGAATTGACGATCCGACCGTTGGATCGTCACCAAACTTTGATACTTTGTAATACGTAATATTTGAGGATTATAGGAATTTACGGATTGAGAATCCGATTTACGGATCTTCCGGAATTGAAGTTGTAAGTTCATAAAATAGAATGTTAACAGTCACTTAGTTTTGGAAATTGACGGAGATCCGACCGTTGGATGGTAATGAAATTTTAGGATGTTGTCCTAGAGGTATATTGTGGACCTCTGGAAGTTACGGATTTGAAATCTGAGTTGCAGATCATCCGGATCGAATTACGTAGTGACGTGTCTTATATAAGTTATGTATTCTATCGGCAGGATTTCTGAGGTTGGGTTTGATTATTGTTCTAGGCGCTAATCTTCATGACGCCTTGATGTGTGGTGCTAGGGAGTTGTTGGGCGAACTCCAGGTGAGTGGGCAGTTTTGTTTTCGTATTACCTATATACTATTGTTTTTCCCAGAAAAATGCTTTTATGAGAAATTATGTTTTGAAAATGCCATGCATAGAATTATTTGGAAAATGTGAATTTCATATGAGTTATATGATTGATATATGATGCATACATGTTGCATGGTGCTGTGGAGACACAGGTAAGTCAGGTGAGTTCATTTATTCATTGAATTGTTGTTGAGATGTTTGAGCTCATAACCTGCACCCTAGGTGTTAGTGCTTATTTTATTCACCACACCGCACGCTCGCCTTGGATCCAAGTAGGTGGATGTCGTACAGACCATGTGAGGGTTCCGACATGCCAGTCGTACAGACCATTAGAGGGGTTCCGACTGGTGGGTGACCTTAGATATGCGCGCTGATGATATGATGAGAGAAGCACTAGAGCGTATTTTTACACCTATCATCGTATAGACTACCTTACGTAGTTCCGAGTGATGTGCAGAGTAGGGCCGTATAGGTCACTGTGGTGACTCCGGCTTAGTGAGATATTGAGCTATTGAATTAATCGTATAGGACCAACTGCAGGGTCTCCGATTGATTCCTTATTTCACCTGATTTATATTTTGATTTATGGCATGACATGTTTTTCTTGAAAAATGTTAAAGATTTGGAATTCAAGTTTTGAGATTTCATATGGTTTTATATATATATATATATATATTTTTTTTTTTCTGAAAAGTGTTAAAGGTTTGAGATTTGAGATTTTTGCTTATATATATGTTTATATATATGCTATTTTCTGGGAAAGTATACAGGTTTTACGGTGAGGGGTTAGAAATGTTTTAAATGAAAAGTTTTCGAAAAACTTTGTTTTACTGACCCACTCAATTTTGTTTTGCGCCCCTCCAGGTTCAAGTTAGCAGAGCTTTGGTGGCCACGAGGAATCCAACGGTGTTCTGACATAATTCACAAAAGTAGGACTCACCCTCGGATGTGTTATCTTAGTAATTGGAAATTTTTTTAAAGCTTCCGAACTGTGTAAATGGTTACGTCACTCTCACGTGACGGCCAGCACGCCCTCCTTCGGGACGGGGTGTGTCAGTTGGTATCAGAGCCTAGGTTGCAATTCTGGACATCTTGAGAATTTCCTAGTGTTTTCTGTCAGAACTATACCGCCTCGTAGCGAGCCACGTAGTTCGGATGAGCCTAAATTCCCTGATATAGTAGTTTGGGGGGGAACTATTGCCATTGTGATTCAGTCTATTATCTAAAGGAACCTTGAGACTGGTTATAAGTTAAATTTGAATACAGACTTGCCTTGTTTCCATTCGGATGTTGTTACTAATCCGGTCGAGGTGTTATGTCGTTTTTGGCTGGATAATAAGAAGAAGTGACGTTCTTTGGCGACCACAATCCATTGTACTTTTTACCAAGAGTTTACGAGATGTTGTTGGGCTTTAAAGACTTTGAGAATATGATCAGCGAGAGTAAAGAGGAATAAGAAAGGAATGAGAATCAGAATAAGACGATAAAGTTAAAGATTCGTCATATCAAAAGACCTCGGAGGACTCAGAGCTTCAAAGGAAGTGAAATTAGAGCTAATTTTCCCAGCTTAGGTTTTACTGCCACTGGTCAGAGGCGAAGTGATAGATTTACTAGTGATCCCAGATTTTTGAGACAAGATGACTCTGGTAGAGGAAATGTATATTTGTGCCATAGGTATAATATTAGACACTTTGGAGAGTGTGGGAATCAGTGAATGTGTTCATGTGGACGGATGGGACATAGAGGTATGAATTGTCCCTGAGATCAGTTGTTACCCAACAGTCTTCCTTAACATATCACTTGGAAAATTGACGGGTAAGTCGTACAGGTCACTATATGTGACTTCGACTTATGAGCTAGCATGGATAGTCAAGTTGTAGACTCAGTCGCACAGGTCATTCTAGCTGACTCCAACTGATATATTTCTTATTATGGATGATGTTGCCAAAGAAAGTAATGTTGGAGCACGATCGAGGCGTATTTATGTATTTCTAAGGAAGAACAAGATAATATTACACATTCAGGAATTGTTACTTACTTATCGAGACAACATTGGGTTATTTGTATTGCGGGCTGCATACCGTAATATTTATAACTTATTTGTTGGATTCGTTAAGCAAGTAAACACGTAGGTCATCCTACGTTAGTATGGTGCTATTTAGGGTGTCCGGTGATGGTGAAAAATGTCATGTCGGTGAATTTTATTCCGTTGGATATTGTGGATTTTGAGGTGATTTTTGGCACAAAGTGGGTGCAGAATAAATTTGCCAAGCTAGATTGCTATGGCGAATCAGTTAATTTTTGTCGACCTGGATGACCATAGGTTACTTTTGGGGGTAAGTAAAGTGGAGTGAGTCATGCCATTATTCATGTTGAGAGAGCAAAGAAGATTGTTATCAAAAGGCTGCCAAGATATTTAGTTCATATGGTGCTAAATGATGTTGATCCTAATAGTATGGAAGATGTAAAGATGGTTAGACATTTTCCTGGTGTATTTCCAAATGACTTACCTAGATTACCGCCAGGCAGAGATGTGGGTTCCATTATTGAATTGTTTTTAGGTACAAATCCTATGTTAGAGATTGGTTCAGGTTGAGTTAAAAGTTCCATTCAACTTATTATATCACATTGGAAAAGCTTCGGTTTATTTGTGAGGAAGAAAGTGGACATTAAGGCTAGGCATTGATATTAGGTAATTGAATCGGGTAACGATTGAGAGCTGTTATCCATTGTTGTGTATTGATGATTATTTGATCAGCTCTGAGGCGCCTGGGTACTTTCTGAGATTGACTAGAGGTCTGAATGATATTAGTTGAAGATTAACAGTGAGGATGTTCATAAGACTGAATCCAGGACTCGTTATGGTCATTTCAAGTTAGGATGCCATACGGAGTGACGAATGCACCTGCTACTTTTATGAGTTTGCTGAAGGAAGTATTCCAGTGATATCTGGACCGGGTTGTTATTGTTTGCCATTGACGA